GTTGATTAGCATATCGCTGCGTTTTGCCGATCATGCTCAATAGCCTCCCAATACTTTCCTATGAGAAAGCATTATATTAGCTGAGATAATCAAGATTGATGATCTCTGAGAAGGAGGTAGAGTGCTGAAGACAAAGACTTACCTGACTACAGCTGGTTTCAACCCTGTGCATTCCATATGAAAAGTCGTCAGTAAATGTTATTGAATTTGGATTGATAACATCATAAAATGAAGGCCATCCTAGATGTAAAAAACACAAGAGAAAATGAGGAACATATTATTATTATTATTATTGCCATTTATATACCGCCAGCAGATTCCATAGCGCTTTACAATATTATAAGTGGGGGGGGAGGTGGGGGGATTTAACTATAAATAGGACATTTACAAGAAAACTTACAGGAACAATAGGTTGAAGAGGACCCTGCTCAAACGCGCTTACAGTCTATAGATATCACATTGGTTCTTGGAGGATAACTGCTGCAGTAATATTAAACATAATATAGTACTATGGGCCATATCCATTCATTGACTAAATTGCAATTTGGAAGAAAATCTCCACTCACGAAATCTTACAGACTGGAAAATGGAAACATAATAGGTATATTTGATGGTTTGGTGCACATCAAGACAAAATAATAGACACAATTACGTAGTAGATCTCTCAGTGGCTGGCCAGTGATAGGTTGAGAGCATCATTTGACATGCCCAGCCTATATACTACAGAGGCAGAGAGGAAGGAAGTCAGGGGGCAGTGTTGTGTCTCTGACATTAGTGCACCAACAAGGGGGTTAAACTGTTGCAAAAACAGTTTAACCCCTGCCTGACGTAACAACTTAAATTAACTTCTGACACTGCCCATTTTAACGGGCTCACGTATATATCCTTTTAAAGTTCTTCTATAGTTTCAGAGGCAGCGAAGTACAAACAGCTTATTACTGGAGAAAATCGGTGATACAGGGACAAGAATATGTCGTTTGTATTTGGCATTATTCGAGTCATTAACCAGAACTGTAACAACACATCTACTGTCACAACCAATACTTACTATTTGACATCTTTTTATACAATTACATCTAACATGATCTACTGTACGCACACACCATAGATACTGTATACAGCGCAGACATAAAAAAGTATATGAATAAATCATATACTAAAACAAAACTAAATGTAAAAACAAGCATGAAAAACAAGAAAAAAATCCAACAGATGGAGCAAAAGAGCTATGAAAAAAAACATGTTTATGGATTTGTTCTACACTGATAGAGGAGATAATTCCTCTTAGCGAAAACAGATCATTGCACCTATACTTATAACACATTGAAGTTGAGTTATAATAAACATAAGCTGAACTGCTCCAACATAAAATACAAGATGTATTTATCATAAAGCACTGTAATGGTGTAAGGGATAGTGGGTCTAAAAGAGGATATTTTTTTTTTTATCACAAAAAGTGTTCAGCAGCATGAGTGGCAAACCCCTCCAAAGAACTAGAAATAGTACAGATACAAAGGGTCATCAGCCAATTTAATATTTAGAACGGTCTATTGGGAAATGACTTAGATTGATATTGTGGCCATAATGCACAGAATTCGAGTTGTATCTTGTATTATAACTTTTATTCCGTAGAGAGAGTAATATGTTGGGGTGCTTTGATTACTCCTAGACATAAATGTATCAGTAAAGAGATGTCACTGGCTAGAGTATATAAACAGTATGAAAGAGATAAAGATTTGTACAAAATCAATATATGAACCACATTGAAGGTTACAGTTATGAGATGGGCATCTAAAACATCTTAGCGGAGTCTGTGCTTACATTTAAATAGTATAATATAATATTTACATAATGGTATCCCTTTAACTCCTTCTTCCCCCATTCGTCTTTGAGAGACTGCCAGAGCCATCATGTCTCTCCAAATGTCATGGTGTTACAGGACGAGTGAAATTATACAAGCAATTTTGAAATGTAGTTTTCTACTACTCATTTACAAAAAACAAGTTCCTTGCGTATTTGTCACTTCTCCTCTGTGTTACCTCTCCTCTGTTTATCTTACTTGATGGATGTCAACATCTCCACTCAAGACATTACACATATAACTATTGATGTGTATTTGTAACATTTCTACATTCTTTCCAAAACAAATTCAGCTGCCATTTGTAACCTGCAAGTCTTCCACTAAGGTGCTATTTACACTTGATGGGTATATTTTAGAATAAAAGGGGCGCACTAAGCATCAAAAGTGCAACATCTTGATGTAGTGCATGATGCCTGTCTCTTAGCGTAAGCAATGTAAAACATTACAGAAAGCCCATAGTTGTACTTCCTTTGGTGTTCTATGGTCTTTGTGTTCGGCATCATCACACATAGCATAGAGAAGCATTGGATTCAAATCTTCTCTGTAATAAGCATTTGATGGGCAGAACACAAATTAACACGAACATTCCATTTTAGATTACTCCACACCACTTTTCAGATTATTACATTTTGATTAATCTTTGATGAATCTGGTGTAAATAAACATTCATTGATTGTGTTTACTCATTATTTATCATTTCAGAAGGACTATTCGATTTATAACATATTGTACCCAGTCTTATTGTACATTTTATTATTAAAACCAATGTGTTTCTAATGTGTTCCTTATCATCGGTATCTTGACGTATGGATGCAACTGCAAATGATCACTGGCTCAGTGTGATATTACCATCACAAGGTATTTTATTAATTCCATTTTGCAATATTTCCTTGTATTCTGGTGACATTATAACATATAGCAAAATCCACAAAGAAGTCAAAATATCAAAGTATTGTGCTCACCAACATATTCATAGATGTCACATTTCTTTCTGATTTTCATTTTGCTATAGTGTTACATGACAATAAAGTTGTTATGACATTAGGCTCTTTTTATGCAACTTCACATCCTAAACAGAAGAAAAAATACACTGTGCCTGTATCTGGTTTCTCTCCCAGGAGTCTAACATTTCATTTTATTGTAAACAACATATGGATATAGATTATGCAACGATAACATGTGTTGGACATTCAAAAGATTTAAATTGCTTGTATAGACACCCCGATAACAAGTAAATTGTTTCTTTTTTTTCTCACTCTGACAAAATAAGTTGTTTTAAAGCGGCACTGTCATG